TCCATCAAGATTTTCTCCTGGGATGTATATTTGCTCATACAACAGATTACAACTAAAAGTATGAATAAACTCCAAGTTGTATTTTCTTGAATGTACATTGTATGTTATTCACTTTGTACACGTTCATGTTTGTTTTCATTAAATTGTAAAGTGATTTTATTTCCGACTATAAAAACATTTTTTAAAAGAGTGTAATAGAGTAAAAGCCATAAAAAAAAGCTGGTACTAGGGAGTTCAAATCCAATATGGTGGCCGTACGAATTTACACACGCTGTAACTTTTCCCAAGAATTTTAAACTGTTATTTTACAAATTCTATACGTTGCACATCAATAAAATAACACTACCGTAATTATTGAAATAGGTTAGTCATGTGTCTATTTCCTGTGTAAAAAGCTTGGTACGATTAGTGAGTCAATCACACTCCCGCCGGAAAAATCGACCATTAGTGATAAAATTACGCCGTAAATAAACATGGCTCTTGATATTTTGCAGGGTGTGTGATATAAAACAGAAAAGCCAAATATATAAAAATATGGCCGATAAAATTTGCTGTAAGATGGTACTAGTTTAATTTATGTAGCTATGACTCGTGCGAAAGAAAATTGAGGTATACACATACAATACAAGAGACTTAAACTTTAAATTTGATAGAGCAGTGAGGCCAATTCTTGATTCATTGTTAAATAATATTAGCCTTTGAAATGGCATAAATGGAAACAACAAATCAATAACAACAACAAGAATCAACAGAAACTATGTGCTGAAGGTATTGGATGTATGAAGTACAAGTGTACTAATAAGGAATACTGCATTTACTGTATTTGATGCACATTTTCAATACACATAAACCAACCAAAGAAAGCTTAGAAATAACTTGTCTCGTTTACTGATGGTATTAGATGTATTAAGTACAAATAAAGAATACTGTATTTACTAGTTTGATTAAAATTTATCTGTGGAGCAATATGCAAATTAGGTAATTAATATACACAGATTTCAACTAAAAACTAAGTTTAATTAAAATTAGATGATAGGTTTTTTGTGATATCAGTAGAACAGACAAGCACGAACCACAAAGACTATAAAAGCACTCGTACATGTAAATTGTTTAGTTTCTGAATTTACAAAAGCAGATGAGAAATTTTCAGATTTCTTTTGACTTTTTAAATTTATCTACAAAAATAGACTCTCCAGCACTTCCCACTATTGTATTGGTCAGTGCTGAATAGAATTTACTTCAAGTGGTGAGTTGATTTGTAGAAAAATAGAAAGTGATAAACATTCTCCTTTCCCTCATTACAACATACCCTGTCACCTTTATAATTTTCTTATCCTGTTTTATTCCCTTGCATTTAATCTCACCTTAAAGAAGAGAGAGATGCTATTGTGATCATAGGGATCCTTTATAGTATTTTTCCCTTTACTGTTGTGTTCAATCTAGCCATAGTGCTTTAGGGATTTGATATCTTAACCAAAACTCTTTATTTCATTTTTTTCACTAATTTTATAGAAACTTTTAATCCAACATTCTGCGGTCTTTTTAGGTAAATTCGACATTCCAATCACACATTGCAAAACATACTAGGTTACAAATACAGCAGACTCATTGAGAATTTATTAGAGTTCAAAATGGTAAGCAAAAAAAAGTTTTATTGAAGTCAATGTCCAATGAGACAAACCAGAGAATTCTGGGTAATTTATAGTGCTGTGGTCTCGCTGTTGTGAGGCAAATATTCTAAGGTCTTTTCTCTTATACAAGGGAAATTATAAGAAAAACTTGTATTGGAATATACTACTTCTGGTCACAGTGGTTGCCATGCCAACCCTGATAGCACCAACATTTAGTTGTGTCACTTCTTGAAAACGTGAGCACTTGTTTTTCCATTTTTGAAAAGTGACAATATTTTGATATTTTATCATGGGAACTTGCATTATCTTGTTCCATACATCTGCCATGATAATTGCAATGTGATTTGCTACATTGTATACCAAGATTGGTAGTGTTTAATACATATGGTCCAAGTAACAAGGTGAGATATTTTTGTAAACTATGGCATGCTTCTGGGTTATTAGTATCTTCGTTATCACCCCATAAAATCACGCCTGATAATCCCTTTTTCATGGATTGTCCAATAGTGTATTGCAAATGAACCTACAAATGAATGAATAAAACATAGTTAAACTATTGAACTTCCTGTCCATAATTGCTAGTAAACTATAACAGAAAGTAAGTGATATTGTAATAATTATACAATCAAAACACTGACATCATTTAAACGGTATAAATCAACAATGAAATTTTATGTTTTTTGCTGAAAATTATTTGTGAACAATTTATTTCTCAGATATGATTTTGGCCGTGTCTGGGTTGCAAAAACTGTAAATAATGAAAAAGCTTTTTTTTGAGTGTAATCAAAGACCTAAAGATATTTATATGCAAGACTGAAGAGTCGAGATACATAATAGTCACAAACTTGGAAATTAATTAACAGGACTTATAAAAGCTATCTAAATTGTAATTTCTTCACGCCAGTGAATTGCTCTTCTTTATCCAGACTGAAAATATCCGCACATCAGCTCATAATTTTAAAGGGTAGAGTGAATGCTATCCCACAAGACGATCAAGTATGTGCAGATTGATTGAATGTACCGGTAATTGAGGACATGTATCATTTTGTTTTTGCTTTATTGCCGAATACTATTATACACTGCCCACCAGGTGTAAGTTTGCTAATTTATTACATAAAGAAAAATGTGTATATTTCAACACATTAAACTCAGTTTTAACAAACACAAAAGAAAATTCATAAAGTTGCTTAATTTATGCAAATTAATACATTAATATGCAGGAATTTTAAGGATTAATCTAATCAGGACTGAGAATTATCCAAGAACACGTGCATCAACTTTTATTTAAATTTGTTGGGTGGCATCAACAATATGGAGGAAATATTGACAATATGTAAAAAAGTTATGTGTATACTCACATTATTGAGGTAATATTGAGTGTTTGAATAATTATATCTACAATACGAGTATATAGGTATATACGGATTTGAAGACTGCATCACCACTCTTATAGCTTCATCCAGTCTGGCAGAAATAAACTTTAATAAACTGATATTGCAGAATTGATCACCAGCGCTCACATAAATAGATGGATAAACTGCTGTACTACTATCAAACAACCACTGGAGCTTGTCATTTTGTTCTTTTACTTCATTTGAGCATTTCTCTTCATCCAAATTATAGCATCGTGGAAAGCCATAAAATCCCCATAATGCATTAGGGCGTAGTTCTTTTACAAGCTTTAAAGTACCTTCCATCAATGATTTTGCAGCATTTTCAAACTCAAATTTTGCAACAGATTTTATAAATTCTTCAGACCAGTTCCCGTGCCTTTTTTTAACAAGTAGTATAGATTGATCCTGATAAATTTTTTTAGAATCCCAGTTCCTCTCCCAAGTTGGTCGCCATGGCTCCCAATCAATAACTGCTAGTCCATTAAACTCTGTATCTGGTATAAATTCCATAATGTCCTCAGCTACTTGTTCAAAATGTGCGTTAAAATCAGCAAGCTGAATTAGAATAAAACAGACAAGAACCTTGAGCAAAATCTACATGTTGCACCAATACACCCACCCAGTGTAAATATCTGATGTATATGCAGATAATTGTTCAACAGTTCTGTAACACAAGTTCTGATTGGTTGTTGATCCTTAAACTAGACTAGAGCAGTTCACATAGGTGCATGATCAGGGTCAGAGGCATGTACAACAGCAACCATCAACCTGTAGCCATGACTAGACCCTCTACCTTCATCAGATTTTCCAGTAGTACAGATGGTAGCCCATACCAAACTAGATATAGTCAAATCGTCTGTGGCTAATGATGGCCAAGTGAACATTTTCTAAAATCTAGCATTTTGGTTTTTGGCGTAATTTCAATTCATGAATTGGCAGTAAGTAGTCAAAACTAAAAGTTTGGTTGTAGTATCCAAAGTTATGCCTGTGGTGGCAACATGGCCCTTTCAGTTGATCTCGCAGTGAGACGTCCCCTATTTGACAAGAACACTGTTATACTCAAAAAAATTTTCAATCTCCATTTCAGCAATGTCATGAATCAGTTAGCAAGGCTTTAGTTCTAGAATATGAAACCTATAGGAATATTAAAAAGTTGGCATCAAAACAGAACTGACTGGTAACATTGTAGTTTGCACATTGTTGGGTTTGCCGTTGACAGAAAATGTACAAATAACTGAAAAGTCACTTTAGCGATTAAACAACATTCCGAAATGAAAATAGAATTTTGATTTTCATAGTTCATTTCAAAATCCTATTGTTGAAAACTAAATGTCGCAGCTAAACTTTCAATTGATTTCAACTGATGAAATAATGGTAAAATAATGTCCAAATAAAAAGATAACAATCAAATAATGTGACAAAAAAAACCATAACAGTAATCAAATAATGTAATTCCAACAATTTAAAAATGATGATACTATGACAGCTATTCATTTATTCTTGTGTACAATACAATAACAAACTTATAGCAGTGTCAGTATTTCAAACGCTTAAAATGGTGCTCAGGTTTTCCAAAACGCCAATATTTTGTTGTTTTAATTATTTACACTTATCAATAGACTTATGAGAAGTGACTGAACATAAAAAGAAAACTAATAACAGTAAATTGTGACATATTGATCGCAAAGTGTTCAACCTGAATATAAAATTTTGGAAATTTGCATCACTTTTATCACTGGTAGTTTCAAGATCATCTTACAATGAAAGGTATAACCCTACCGACGATAAAAACAATACTAACAATAAGAACCAAGAGATATACATAATTGCATGCAGGTACTATGGAATGATGGCGGATTTAAGTGCATAATCTGGTAACAATAGAAGTGGACCAGTTACAAAAATAGACCGGTTATGAAGTGTACCCGTCGATTTACCAGAAAATTTTACCAGTGGGTGAAGTGGAAGTGGGTATGTTATGATAAAACTTATCATAAAGTCACAAGACAGGTATCTCTCCTATGGTTTCGTATAACAATAACATTAGCTTATCATGTTTTTCCTTGTTCTATAATTACTTGTATTTAATGTGCTATTTGTGATATTAGTTAGTTATGTGAAGTATTATTTCTGTTTTTGTTTTACAACCATAAAATTACTCTCTGTAGTAGATTTTCGTGTTGGATAAAATTATTATTATTATTATATACATTTTGAGTTTTCACAAAATCACTACCCGGTAATACTTGTTTCCGGCCGATCAGCTTGCACTATATATATATATATATATGTCCAGAGGTACATTACTTGGGGTTTGCAACTACGATTACATGATACCAAGATCCCGTTTCAATCTCGCTCTCGCATAAACGTTCCAACTCAGAAAAATGCGAATGCGCATGCCCGAGGTAACTAGGATACTTGGATCCTGGGATGTCCAGGTGGATCAAAATAGCTGCCCACAATATGACGGATTACGAGAACTATATTTTCTGTACATTTTCGATGTATTACATTTTTCACTATGATAGTGACAAGAAAAGTTTTATTTTTTCATTACAAACCTTGACCATTGATATATGTCATGTCAGAAGGTCGTAGCCTCAGTCTCGCTATCTACGAGAAGAGACTTGAATGTGATCTTGACATGATGTCACCATACAGTACTGTGCGAGTTGCAAACCCCAAGTAATGTACCTTTGATATGTCTTATATATAGTGCAAGCTGATTTTTGTGGTTTCGGAGCGTGATGATTAAATTTAATAACATATGCTTGCTTTACATTACTAAACTGTTTTAATTCCATAATTTCTATTATTTTGAGCAAGGGTAAAGTCCTGTACCGGGACATAGTCGCACGGCCCCATAGACGTCCACGCATTGAGACGAATAGATCGTCAAGCCCCTGTGAGTTCACTTAATTCTCTCATAATCCGTTTCTCATTGTATTCCAAAATCTTACCTGGGGTATTCCTCCATTTACTGCTGTCTTATTGTCGGTGAAAAACGGGTACAAACCCATCTTATCGTGATCAAATAATGCAATCTTATCTCCTATCCAGGCCTGGTTACTATTCACAATTATTTCATATTTGTTAAAGTTGAACGGAATTCCGTACTCATTGCAGTGCCGAGTAGGTGTGTTCCAAACTGCGCGGAAATGCTCCGAGGGAAAAGCAACAGTTACATCAACAAACAACGCAACAAATATAACCGGAGCTGGTACAAACATGGTGTGGTGTTTTAGCGGTTTCTCCGGCGTTAAAATAACGTCAAACAAGTTTCATAAGCCTGAGATCCAATTATTCAGAGGGTCATTCCCAGTGCACTGAAGTATGGGTTGGTGAAGCCCAATTTCCCGGAAGTCGAGTTACAGCGTTTTGCATGCGCGCGCATACCGTTGTTTTGGAGGAACGTGAAGTTTCTCGCATGATATTTGATCTTGTGGGTGTACTAATCGACGTGATAATAATAATAATATTCCGTTTTACCAAATATCAAGAGACTGACGTGTTCGTACTTGTACCGTGAAACAGGCTGTCATCGTGCTTGCACCCCAGTCTCACTACTTCCGGGAAAGTGGATGTAGACGGCAGCCGTAAATTCTCCTAGAACATACTACATAGAAAAAAGGATATGTAATCTCCAGGAATTTTAGCATAGATGAATTATTTCTTAATACTGTTTCAAGCGATGATGTTTTTCATTCGGCAAAACATGGAACAAAAACGACCCAAACTATTCACAATTAAACCAAAACAAGCCACAAAATTAAGTGTGAACGTTCAGCAATTTTGGGGGCGCTGTTCTCACCCGCCATGCGATGTGCCCAAACGACACAATGAAAAGATGTAAATAAAGAATGAATAGCCGAATACAAATCTCATAACAATATGTGAAAGTAAATACTAAATAATTACTGATGCACAATAATTATAAGTAATAAATAACAAAATAAACACTATTCTTGAGGGGCGGACTTTTTCACCGCCTGGCAACCATCACGGCCGACGAAAACTCTTGGGGGGGGGGGATACTTCCACCTTAAGCGGTTAGGGGTATGCAGCCCACCTCTCGTAAACTATACCCACTTCTAAACACAAGTGTTTTCAGCGACTCACATGGCTTAACTCGTACCACATGCGCATAATAAGAAACACCCAGCTCACAACTTTCGCTACCAGTGAGCGCATCCGGGCGACGCATTTTATTTATCGTTTTCCGGTACCTGGCTTTGAATATAAGAACCTGTGAAAAAGTTAATAAATGCTACGCACTTCTAAACCAAAACATTGATAAATAAGTATCCACTTCTGAAAAAAAACCCATGAAATGACACCCCAGTCGGGCGGCACATACCCTTCGTGTTCCAATACGTGACAATAGGAAAGACAGAAGTGTACCACGACATATATTGGTTAAATTTCCCGTACGGCTTCAACGTAGCGATATCCTAGCTAAGAAACGTCCCTGCTTAAGCGATACAGGTATATTTGTAACTGTAGATCTTTGTAAATCAGACTTGGATACCAAACGTGCTATGAAGGATGTTACGAACTCTGCTTATAAGAACGGTAAAAAGTACGTTTCACAAATGGTAAACTATTTATCGATGGTCAGTTACATAACAAGTCTTAGTAATAAATAGTAATGTAGATTACTGTATAATTTAACAATATAACATTTATTATACCCATTACTGCATGTTATGTCGTCGTGGTAGGAGGGAGTCCTTATATAGGTCTAAACTTATTCTTTTTGGCATTTAACGTCAATATACTATTATAATACCGTCAAAAGTTTCAATTTGCATTTTTAAGTGGAAATAATTAAAATAACCAAAACGAGCCAATTGCTTATGTTGGACTCTTGCACTGTTTTCAAATACTCGTACACGATTACTAAGCTTTGTCATTATGGTCATCTACGTGTGGCTCAAATTATATAAAATAGTTATTATCACTTTCTCTTTTTTTTTTCTTGAGTCGGTGGGTGATAACGCTGATCGAAGTTTTTTTTCAAAATCACTATATCTTATAATCATGTTATTTGGTATTGTTCCTGTTATCAAAACTGATTTCAGCTATATTGTTAATACTAGTATAATGCATTTAAAAAAAGTTACACATTCTATAAATTAAAATGGTCAACAGTATATCAGAGCTGGTAATTCAAAAAAATAATTGATTAGATTTGTCATTTTACCCTGTGTGTGTGCGTGTGGGAGGGGGGTGTGTCCGTTCCACCAATATCTCAAGAACCGTATGGTGGTTTTTAATGAAACTTGGTGTATAGATGCTTTGGGCTAATGCGCAGATTTGATTATGTTTTGGTTGAAATTCATACATATTAATTATCTGATTTGTATGATAATTAGCTGATTTTTAGCTGTTCCTTAACTGTTCCACTGATATCTAAAGAGCCATTCATTAGATTTTAATGAAACTTGGTACATAGATGCTCTGAACTAATGCACTGACAGATGTGATTAGTTTCGGATAAAAATACGTGCATATAATTGACCTTATTTGCACAATGATTAGTAAATTTTTGGCTTTTGCACTGATATCTCAAGTACTAACCATCACATTTCAATGAAACGTACATAGACACATAGGACGATGCACAGACATGTGAAATAGTAATTACCCAATTTGCATAATTAATCAATTTTCAGCTTTTGATATTTCAAGTACTATTACTTCATTACTTTTCAATGAAACTTGATACATATATGCTCTAGAACAATCCAGAGACTTGATTACTTTTAAGTAAGAATGTGTGAATATTTCTCAACTAATTTGCATAATTAGCCAATTTTCAGCTTTTATACTGATATCTTATGGACTAATTATTCCATTTCAATGAAACTTGGTACATTGATGCTCCAGAACTATGCACAGACCCGCTCAGTTTTTGGTTAAATTCAGATCATATTAATTACCTAATTTGCATAATAAATCATAATTTTTGGTTCTAATCACATTTCAATAAAACTTCATACATAGATAGTCTGTGACAGTACTTATCTTAATTCAATGAATCTTGGTACATATGTACTCTAACACAATGTGATCAACAAATTATTTTTATATACATCTATAATAATTACCTAATTTGCATAATAATTTACTTTTCAGCTTTCCACTAATTTAGTTAAGGCTTAATCATTACATTATAAAGAAACTTTGTACATGTGCACCCTGAAACAATATACAGACCTAAATGATCTATGCATAATAATTATATTATGTTGAGTATTTTCTACGGGTGTCACAGTGTAAGGTCTGCTTATCGCAATTGAGAGGGCCACCCACAGAACACTGGACAGGGGGTTCTTTTACTGCTAGTGTGGGGTAGACAAGACAATAGTACTGGAAATGAAATACACATACACCAAAATATCAAGTTAAAGCTCCTGGCTTTAATACCTCTCAAAATAATTACAAGAAATAAAGCACAGAAAAATACAATGAATAAAGTCACTAAAATAGGGGATTGCTTAGGGAAGTGTGCATTGGTGATAACTCACAGTTCCAGGATGTATTATTGGACGACAGTCAATGGCTTCTGCAACACAACAACGGAGAAATACAGGAGTCTTGCTTGCAGAGGAACGCTGGTATTCTGGAGGGCACCACTGAAAGCAGGAGATCGCAGAGCAGTTCATACAAGTCTCACGTAATGATGGCTATAGCCTGTAATATCGTATCGTAGCAGAACACACAGAAAAGCAAGTTGAAAAGACGGTCACCAGGTTGAAATTATCCACCCAAACTGTCTTTAGTCTGTCCAATTTATAGGCAGTGACACCACCTGGGTTCCACATGAGCCAATCACAATGTAATTTTTCTAGCAGTTGTGTCACGTAGGTAGATTCCAATTCTCCCTCCAAAGTTGTAAACACCCTTTGTTATGTAAATTACAAGCACACCTGGTAGAACCCACTGTCCTTCCAGAGTTGAAAACAAGTATGACCTATCAATCACCTTTATGACAGTTATCACAATGCACACCGTTTCTTCCCATGATTCCATGCTCATTTGCAGGGTTTGAGATAATATGACAAAGCATAAAATAAAGGATGCTGACATTGCCCCCTCATCAAGACTGGACATGGCACATTTCAGTCCAATAATCAGCATCAACTGCCAATAAATTTACATTTCTCAAAATTGCAAAAAAGTATTGTAACAGTAATTCTAAGTATTGTCAATTCTGCTTTAATAGTCTGCACCTATATTTTCTTTACCTTCAATTGCTATAATGCGGTAGCTAAAAGATTGCAAATATAGGGCACATCGCATTAACCTACTGTTTACTTCTTGTGCCTTGTTTAAATAAATCAATGGCTGGTGATTAGTCTCCAAAATAAATTCTTTACCATATAAATATTGGTGAAATATATATGCAATGCCCAAATCACTGCCAAACACTCCTTTTCAATTACAGAATAAGACCTCTTTGGCTAGCAATTTACGGCTGGCATATGCCACTGGAAATTTTCTTTCCACATATTGCTGCAATAAAACTGCACCAAGCCCAACTCCTGATGTATCGCATCTCAAAATAAAACTCTTAGTAAAATCAGGCAACCTTAAAGTTGGTTGCTTACTCAATAAAACTTTCAAGTAATTAAAGGCACGTTCTTGGGAATCTCCCCAGGCTACCTTTCTTGGCTGAACTTTTCTGGTAAAATCACTTAGAGGAGCTGCTATTGTAGCAAAGTTTGGTACAAATTTGCAATAGTATCCAGCCATGCCTAAAAATTACCTTACTTGCTTTACTGTTTCAGGTCTGGCTGCATGCTGTATGGTTTCGATTTTATCTGGCAATACTTGCAAAATACCGTCACCTACTTGGTGACCAATAAACTCTAAATTAGTAAAACCAAAGAAACATTTTGAAGGTCTGGCAGTTAAACCTGCCTTCCTTAAACGAGCCAAAACCTCCTGTACAATCTGCACATGCTCTTTCCAAAATTTTGAATAAATTAAAATGTCATCAATTAAATTCTCAACTTTACCTTCAAGACCTACCAACAAAATACGCATCATACGGGAAAAAGAGGCTGGTGCATTCACAAGCCTGAAAGGCATGCGTCAAAACTGAAATAAACCATCAGGTCTTTTCTTTAGCCCCCTCACTCATGGGGATCTTCCAGTACACCTTGGTTAGATCAATTTTGGTGAAGTACCGACCCTCTTTTAAGCGTGAAAATAGGTCTTCAGGTCCTTTCTTATTCACCAAAACAATCGGTGAGGCATAAGGTGAATTTGATGGTTCAATTACACCCATCTCTAACATACTCTTAAACTCTGACCTCACTATATCTGTCATAGCGA